GGATGAATGCCCAAAGTAGTCTAGATAACGTGGAGAGTAAAAAAATCTTACACCTACCGGGGCTCGAAATGTGGCCCTTCCACCGTCTGGCCCGCAGCCAGTAACTATACCGACTGAGCTCTCCCGGCTCCCACCGATCCCCGTAAGATAGATTTCAATATGTCTCAATCTCCTTTCATTCTTCTGCTTACTCCCAAAGAAATATCCTCACCACAATACTGTAAGAAATGTTAATAGTATTCGTTTTCTTTTTAATTCGCTTAGTGGGGGGTAGAGCCCAGCATGTGTTCACTGGGTACGTCGGCCACTGATTGGCCTATTGTACCTGCCCCGGGTGATTATGATGTTGGAAAATTTGGTGGAATGAAGACTGGCAGGGGAAACCGAAGTACTAGGAGAAAACTTGCCCCAGCGCCACTTTGTCCACTACAAATCCCACTTGACCAGACCCGAGCTCGAACCATAATATTAGTTTAGTAAGATGGATATTAAGGAAATATGATGTCAGGTTTTGGCCTGTACAGGACTCGCAACATGATCCTACGGCGAGTCCTTGTATGTTAATGAGTCTTAAGGCGCGTCCACATTACTCGTGCTAATGCTCGTGTGACTCGCTATGCTCGCGAGTAAGGTGGACGATATGAAAAATCACGAGACAAGCAAATTTTTAAATATTTAATTTAAAAACTATAGCCAATAAATTAAAATACGACTACAGCCTATACACACTACGAGTAAATATACGGATCCTCACGCGCTGAAGCCTGGCGAGCAACTGAAGTAGTGTGGACGAAGCTTTACGAGCACAAGTAGAAGCCAGACGAGTCTCCCGACGAGCACGAGCACGAGTAATGTGGACGTACTTTCTCTACCAGCCGCACTATTGTCACATTCTTGCAACTCCTTCTGAAGGCATTTTACCAATTTTGTTTCAGACCGTAGATGAGCTGTATGCCCTGGCAGAGGAGATTGTGGGCCCACTGAAGACGGTGAGACGCAGGCAGCAGCACTGTGGCGGCACTTGATACAGACGTCGCTCCTTTGTTCGTGTTTTGAAGTTATTTATTATTGTCAAGTGCTTCTCGCTGCCTGGTCCTCCTCATGCAATAACTGATGTAGAACATACCACAGCGGTACCATGACCAGGGGTTACGTATTTCTAAGCTTTATTATTGTCAAGGAGAAGTGGATGCTCTTAGTCGGGTCAAGAAACTCGGTTCCGTGCTCGTGACAATATGGAACTTTCTGGAAAGGGATTCATATTGCAGGGCCAGAATATATACATCGTAGCAGAAGTAAGTGGTGTCCAAAGTATGGCTTGAAACCGCCTCTGTGGTCTAGAGGTCAGAGTTCCTGGCTACAGATCCATAGGCCCCGGTTCGATTCTCGGCGCTACAAGATTTGCTGAGAAATATTGGGGCCCACCCAGCCCCGTGAGGATAATTGAGAAGCTATTTCGAGGAGATAACGGCTCCGGTCTATAAAACCGAGATTAACGGCCGTGGGGATCCGTTGCGCTGACCACGTGACACCCCCGATCCGCTAAATTTGGCAATAACTTCGCCGATATATGTCGGTCGCTCGGTCGGTATAGTTCGCTTGCTGACTACAGGCCAAGGAG